ACCAGAAAATGAACGTTCGGGACCAGCACTGCACCTCCGGCACTGCCAGCAGCCCCAATAGATGTTTGTCGCGTTGATGAGTGGTCCGTGATGGCGAACGTTGAGCGAACATCCCGGATCACGGATAGGAGGAAATCGACCTCTGCAACTCTAGATGCAAAGTTTCTTTTTTTTCTTTTTTTCTTTTTTTCTTTCCCAGAATCACACCGAGCCTGGTGCAAGCTCTCAGCCCCCAGGACCTGTAGAAACTCCGGGCTCAGTGAATCTTCGGAGCATCTTTCTTCTTTATCCTCAGAATCGGCGTAAAGACCCCCGGTGGGATAGGCAGGACCCTTGGGAAGTACTAGTAACGAGAGGCAGGGAGCAGAGTGGTTTGGACACAGATGTCCCTGGGTTGTCAGAGCTATAAGGGATCTACTGAGAATAAGGAGAAAAGTTGAGTTGGTTGATGTCACACCACTGAGTCTAAGGATGTGTTTGGAGGACCGCGCTGCCTTTCGCTCGCTTCCGGCCACGTGGGCAGCTCCTCTCCCTCCCGGCGAGCTTGGCCACAGAGAATCATTATTCCTTGGCCCTCGGCGTCTGCTTCCTCTGACTGCGTCCAGGTGATCACACTCATCTCCAAATTTCCAGCCAAATCTGAAGTCACACTCTGTGTCCTCGGCGAGGCGCCTGGGCTGGCGGCCTGTGCTCCACGCAATCTGACCGGGGCAGCACGTAACTGGAGGCTGCAAACTCTGACGATGATGCAGATGATGCTGATCACAACTACCTTTCATTTATTCATTCAACCAACATGGCGGAGCACCTGTTAGGCAAAGTAAATGATACGGACTTCAGAAGGTGATTAGTGTGACAAGGGAAAAATAGATCCTCGAAAGAGAAGGGCGAGTGCCCACGGGCGGGGGACAGTCACGGTTTTAAACAAGCGCCCAGGAAAAGCCCGGCTGAGAAGGTGACATTTGAGCAGACTTGAAGGAGATGAGAGTGGAACTGAGCACACCGGGGTGGGGAGGTGCCCGGCAGACGAAACCACAAGGGCCCTGGGTGCGAGCGTGACTATCGTCCCATACGGCCATCGAGCGGTGTGGCTGGCACCAGGAGGTGAGGCCAGGGCGGGCCTTCCCGCCGTTCAGACCGCCTCTGGTCTACCCCTTACAACACCCCTGGGATTTGCATGTCTTTCTACGGGTGAAGAAACCGAGCCTCGGAAACCCCAAATCGCAAGCCCAAGGCCACAGGCTGCTTCGGGTCAGAGCTGGAATTCAGACCTCCACCTCTATGCCTCACCCAGCACCCCGCGAATGCGCTTCGCTTCTGGCCCACCATGCGACCCCTAGCCTCCCTTTGCCTGTGGCCAAGCCCCTCTCAGCAAGGGCAGGGCAGGGCCCCCTCTTACTCAACAATGGCCCATTCTTCTCCCGGGCCCCCCTGGTCCTCCAGAACCCCAGAACTCAGAACATTGCTGCCGTGAGGCTGCCGTGGCCTCAGCGTGTAGTTGCTGCCCCTAGATATCTTTAGAGCACCCCACTCCCTGAGGGCCGTGCTCTGCTTACAAAAGGGAGCCAGGAGCCTGTCCTGTGGACCGCGACGTCCCCTCTCCTGGGACGCGGAGCTCACCGCCCTGGCCCGGCTTGGCCCCAGGGGGCCCGATAGTAACCAGGCTTCCAGCAGGTAAGAGCGTGAGTGAAAATGGCAATTCTGACTGCCGCTGACCGCTGAGGTGGTTACGAATTCAGGTGTGGACTTCAGCATAGATGGCTACACATCAGGATCCCCTGGGGGCTTAAAAAAAAAGCTCCCCCTGGCCTTGTACGGGGTACTGCAGGCGGGGTACTGGGTACTGGGTCTGCAGTGGTCAGCAAAGAGACGGGGCTGGGGTTTCAGCGAGGACAAGAAGCAGAGGTGAGGGCCTCTGCGATACTCTGATTTATAAGAAATATACATCTTTGGTCATTCAGATGACCAAATACATATATTTCTCAGACGCGCCTGGTCTTCATGCCCAGTTCCTGGCTCACAGCTCCCAAAAACCCTGAGTGATAAAAACAATGGGAGCATCTTTCGTCCTGACCTCTGTCTGGTCTCTGGTCCTCAGTTCCTGAAAATGCTTCGGAGCCTTAGAAACGAAACAGGTGTCTCGTGATTCTCAACAAGCCCCTTATCACCACAACTGCGTTCATGTTAATGAGGTGAATTTGGGAAAGCACGAAAGGATGGGGGCTGGTTGCCAGGGGAACCAACCGTGAATAGAGGGTGGGAACTTTCAGTCCAAGCCCCTGATTTCCGGGAGGGGAGAGGGGCTGGGCTGGAGGTTGAATCCACCACCGATGGCCAATGAGTTAATTAACCTGGTAATGACGCCTCATAAAAGCCCCAAAAGACCGGTTCAAAGAGCTTATGGGCTGGGAATCCAGACCCCTTCCTAACTCCACAGG